TTTCTTTCCTTTCCTACCAGCCAGACAGGGCCTGCTCAACAGCCACAGCTGGAAAGGCAGGAGAGCAGTTTTTGACAGAGCCAGTATTCTGGCCACTATCACACAGCTGAAGGAAAGGCTGAGAAATGGAGCTTGGAGTACAGTACATTCTGCAGAGTACACAAACCTTGCCATTGCCTGATGAGGCCTGATGAGGCTTAACCTCGTAATCAATCTACCTTCCCACACCACAATCCCCCTGCTTTCCCTCAGTTCGAAGTTGCTCATATGCTAGATATTGGCAAAAGTGATCATGATCATGAAAAACCCCTATAGAAGTGTCCCATTCCCAATCCAAGATGACATCAGAAACAAAAGTCAGAACAGTTGAAGGATCAAAGGATAATATTATGCCCCCTTTAGAGGAAGACTGTGTGGACTATGTCTATTCTACCTAGAATGTTAAGTTCAGAGAGGATGGGAATAAGAACTATGCAATCTGTGAAAAACAAGAAAACAAACAAATCATGGGAAAAGAATCTCAGATCTTCCCAGACCTATCTTGAACATCGTTATCTCTGAACCTGTCTCTCCCATGATCCCAGTCATGTGAAAGATACTAGTTCTGAATTGCTCTTGAACAAAGGTTAAATCAAGTATAAACAAGTGACTCATGCCTAAGCTGTAGGAAAAGATGGCTGTCTTGATAGGGGGCCACCCTAGAAAGGCAGGAATGCCCTCCTTCAGTAGATCTTAGCACTGAAAGCAATGCTCAATGGCCAGTAAGCCACAAGTAATTTGGAAAGTCTTCTGTTGAACACTTCAGACAGCAGAACACCTATTTTAGTCATCTGTATCTCATCGAGTCTTTGCATCTTTCCTGAGGGAGCTGAGTGTGGCGCCTCATTCCCATTTCAGTAGGTTCTGCAGTGGGAGAAAAACATTAGTTTTCTCTGTCCCTTGTCTCGGTGGCTTTTAGATGATTGCAAATTTTGAGGACCGGGGATATTGTTTTCTGTCACTTTTCTGTGATGGCCCATCTATGCCTCTAGTCTGGTTTGAGGATAGCTTGACTTGGAGTAATGGTCGCAGTTAGTCTTTCACTAGGTATAAAATGCAACATTTCATCATGTCACATGTGATGACAAATGAAACTATCCTTTCCCACAAATAAGGAGGATGAAATCATCTGTCTTCTCATCGTTTGCCTTTAGTTCCCTCTGTTGCTAAACTGCTGCTATTAAACTATGTTGACTTTGGACCAGGTTTACTGACAGATCTAAAGGAAGATGGCACCAATGCCCTAGGTCTCAGACCTCCAAAAAGTTGATGGAGAGATATTATGAATCCTGTCAACTCCTAAAGTCTTCGAAGGAAAAAATATAAATGTCTTTGAAGGCATTTAAGTAGAAAACAGGAAAAGGGCCAGTAGAGAGTGGTCTTGAAAGCATAATCAAGTAATTTAACAGCCCAGAAATCAGCCTCTAGTCCATACTCCACTTCCCATACACCTTTTTAAGCTAGGGTTTGAGCCAGGCTGTGTTTATTACTTAGGGCTTGCATGATCACTGTATGTGCATGGCACAGACTGGAGTGCGTCACAGTAATAGCAGAAGGGCCTTGCTGAAGATGCCAGCCAAGGGCACAAGCTTTTACATATTTCTCATTATTTCAGACATTTTTTTTTCTGTGGGTCTGCTCAAGCGTCTCATGACAGCTTTATATGTACATCCCACCCAGAAGCACAGAGCAAAGGCATTCAGTTTAGTACGCTCAGGATGCTGAAGTACCACTGTTTTACAAAATGGCTTATTCAGGAACATATTATGTATGTGTCACTGCTCTCTGCACTGAATGTGGGAGGTCTTATAGTGCAACTGATAAAAACCTGATTTGTGTTTGTTTTCTTTTTTTGTATCATTGAACTAAAATTATAAGCTTGGAATTGCTTTATAAAATACACAATGCAAACAGAAAAAAAAATATATGGGGAAAAATACATAACTAACAGGAAAAGTGATCAATAAAAAGTGCTGAACATAGAAGAAATCTGTGGCTCCTGGAGGCACCACTTGTGCCTACACCAAAGGTTATCAGTAACTCCCCAATTATCCATACCTCAAGCCCACTCTTTTCCTAACTTGTTGCGCAGGTCTAGGTCTCATCACAGAATCACAGAATCACAGAATCACAGAATCACAGAATCACAGAATGGTTGAGGTTGGAAAAAACCTCTAGAGATCATCTAGTCCCACCCCCTGCTCCAGCAGAGACACCCAGAACACAGGGCACAGGGCGGCATCCAGGTGGGTTTGGAAGACCTCCAGAGAAGGAGATTCCACAACCTCCCCAGGCAGCCTGTTCCAGGGCTCTGTCACCCTCACAGGAAAGAATTTCTTCCTCACATGGAGATGGAACTTCCTGTGTTTCAACTTATATCCATTGCCCCTTGTCCTGTCACTGGCCACCAATGAGAGGAGCTTGGCCCCTTCCTCCCTACATTCACCCTTCATGTATTTATACATATTAATCAGATCCCCTCTCAGCCTTCTCTTCTCCAGAGAAAACAGGCCCAACTCACTCAGTCTCTCCTCGTACAAGAGATGTTCCAGTCCCTTAATCATCTTTGCCCTCCGCTGGACCCTCTCTAGAAGCTCCATGTCCCTCTTATACTGGGGAACCTAGTATTGGGGCACACAGTACTCCAGACTCATCTCAGCACTGAGTCAGGGCATCACTCTCTTGCACCTCTGGGGAACAGGAGAGCCCAGTGTGCCAGGGCCTCACAGCAGAGCCAAGGCTTCCCAGCACCTCATGCTGCTCTGGCGCTCTGGCGGCTTTTCAGGTGTGCTAAGAAGCAGATATGGGTGACCAGGCCGGTCACTCTGCACATGTTCACATCTGCCCTTCCGCTGAAAGACACCCAAGATGGGACCCCTACAAGGCTTAACATCACATATTGCTGACTGAGCAAGGGCAAGCTCCCTGCACCGATGATCTTTGCAGGAGAAACTTTATGACCAAGACACTTCGAGACAATTCTGCCTTGAGCAGCCTAAACTTTTCTAACACTCCTATGTCCATGCACAGTCTCAGAAAAAGTATGTCAGAGCTGACAGCTGCAATTCGTCTTTCTAGAACTGCTACCGAGTGTGACAGCAAACACCCATCTTCAGCTAAGCCCATTTTGAAGGATGGCTCGGAGGCAAGCTGCTGAAAAGCAGGCTGTTTCAAATGGCGACAGTGAGGCCAGTATCTGGGCTGAGTTGCCTGTGGTTCTGATACAAGGTCACAAAGTAGGAAAGATGGAAAGAATCAAGCATATGCTTAATAATGGGACACTTTTAATACTATTCCTATCTCTTACTCATAGATTCAACCAACCTAGAACATAACCTGTTCCCTCCAGAAATTGTCCTTAGTTTGTGTACTCAGTGACCTGTACCACACACACCAAGTTACTTTTTTTGTCCTCTCTTAAGGAAATACTGCCTTGAGAAACAAAAAAAGGGGAGGGTAAAAGCCAGTGCCAGCTTTCTCACCAGGGCTATCTTGCCAAACTGTGGCTCCAAGGAGAGTGAGCTTACTCCATACCCCAGGGCAAAGGGGTAGGAGTGGGTCACGCAAGGAGTGATGCAGAGGACTTGATATGAAGAGTCCATGCCAGAGACATGAGCTTGAGTGTCATGCTAGTAGGTAGAAAGGATGAGGCATTACAGTCAAAAACCAGAGCTGCAGGCAGGACACCTATCATTTCAGTCCTCTAATGTCGGTTTTCAGCATGCAGAATGACACTGGATGGATGATGTCTCAAAATGTGGAGGATCATTTCCTGTAGCACAGATCAGCACACATTTATTTACTTACTGAGCGCTCAGCGTGTAACACAAAGTCACACATTTAACTACTAGAAAAAAATAAGCCCCTCTGATCTTACTGGCTTCTGCATACAGTATTGCAAACACGAACAAAGAAGTGCTATCCCTTATGAGGTTTCTAAGTAGCATTCCTGTGACACGCAAGACAGATTTCATCACAGTGTTTTAAGCAGCTTATTACAGCAACCAGCAACCAAAGCCTCCTCAAGTAGAAGACTTGTCAAAAATACTACCTTTATTGTTTATATACTAAAGTATTGCACAAGTTAGTTATAACTTTTTATAATCATGTCACCATCAGCTCATCTACCACATCTTTAGATTAGAATCCATTATTTTCCCTCTTCTCTGGCTACATAAACAAAGATTTGGCCACTTGTCATCTATTCTGCTTGTCCATCTAGTATTGACGTTACCTTTCCATCTTCCACAGAATCTTCAAAACTCCGAGATCCCATCAGAATGCTTCCAAGTGAAGCACTCATAAGCAGATGATCTCTAAGAAGTTATTAGTTTATAAAAATTCAAGAAGTGAATTTCACCTTTAGCCTCTTTCAAAGGGGCTAATCCTACTTCAGAGCCCAGTTATATGAGGCTGCATACTAGGAAATTCTGTAAAATTCAGGAATGAAAGGAATAGTTCAGAAGCACTGTGAAAGCTACTTCAAGCCCAAAAAGTGCTTAAAAAATTTATGAACTTTTGGAGTAACCGTGTCAGCTGGTCCAGACAGACAAGATGCATCTGATCTCATCCACTCTCTTTGTGCATCTCCATCTCCAGTAAATACAAAAAAAAATCATAGACTCAACTCACAGACTACCAGCATTGGGGAAGATTGCCTAGGAATTGTTAGATTTGCCCACTCCCAAATACATAAATGTATCTATTTATCATTTATATTTGTGACTAAAAACTAGATAACTGCAGATTCATGACTTCTGAAATCATTTCAATGAGTATTCAAAAGTGTTCTGATCAACAACACTGTGTGAAATAAGAAGTTCTGAATTATGCTTTTAATTAATTATTGATGCTTAAATACAGATGTTCACAGGTAAAATGTTTTATATTAATAAGATACCAATCAAAAAGTCATTTTGGTTTCCATTGTGCAGTTTATTCAAATTAGAAAAAAAGTTACCAAGTATTCCACAATTCACATGCAAAAACTCAAACATTACAGCCCAAAAAGTATTGATTTTTTTTTAGTTTTCAATTAAGGCCTTCAGGCAATTCAACTAGGCAAACAAATATCTTGATTAAAAAAAAATAGACCATAATTCACTTGAGTTTATTTCTGTTAACAAATTTGATCTAAGTGAGTCCTGGTAGTACGCAGTTGCATTCCTTATCTTTTCAGTAGTGTATAGCTGATAGGAGTCAAAGTGATAGCAAATATTTCTTCAACAGTGCCTTGATTTGGAGTGCTGAATAAGCCATTGTAATGTTATGTCTGCCAAGACAAAAAAAAAAAAATGAAAAACTGAAAATTTGCAAAGTTTAAGGAGACAACAGAACATTAGTAGGTCAATAGAAATAAAAACAAAACCAGAAATCACTGTTTTTCATTCATAGACTTAAAAATTAATTGCTTAAGACACTGTTTTGTTGTTGTTTTTCTTCGGTTTTAAATTATATGCATTTTTTTTCTTAAAATATGACAACTGACATCATTTAGGTAGAATGCAGGAGCCTGGGGACTCTAAAAAACACGTGATATCTAATTAAAAGTTAACAGCCAAAACTGTTATCTCTTCTGATACAACCTAATGCATTGGGCTAAAAACTAGAGCAGTTTACAAACTGCTTCATGAGCAGATTTTAGGTTTTTGCCTCAAGGTAGCAGCATACATCAGTGATTTAGGAAAGATGTCTGGGCGCAGAAAGAATTTCAGTCCTCAAATCTAAATTTCTGCCATGTATCTGTCCTAAGCTCAAGAGAGCACTCTGGAAACTTCCTACCAGACCAGCTTAGACATGGAGATTTCAGTCAAAAGGACCTAAAGTGGAGTTAATAATCACACACTAATCTTCCTCAGACAGTCCCTTAGGACACAGAAACCTGGCAGCTTTATACCTATATCTCCTAATGAGTCCAGTTCACTTGCAGTTGGCACTGAAAAATGACTGTCTCATATGACTGCATTGACATCAATCAAAAACTTAGATGAAAATTCAGAGCTCCCATCCTTCTCCTAAAAGCCTAGTTACATCACTAGTAACCAGTCCCTCAGTTTGAGAAATGTCACCATACAGTCACATGAATGTTAGGCCTACTTACAAGGTAAAAATATGTATGGAGATGTATTAAATATAACCTAAAATTGGAAGGCTGTCATATCTAGTTAACAGTTCTTGAAAGGAAACACAGTTTTTGTGATGGATTCATTAACTTCGCTTATTAAACAATACTTTTCCAAAGACAACTGTCAAATTAATTCCATAACTTCTTGCAAAATTAAATCACCCTATGAATGGCGTGTCTGTATACATTCTAGTCCTTCTAAATTACATAACTGTATATAAAACAAAAGATTGAATGTAATACTTGCATAAAATCTTTAACATAAAACTGAGATTTTGTCTTACATACAGGAGTTAGATATTGAATTTTCAGAGCACACACTAATGATGGTGTAAAAAGAAACAGCACCTTACCTATGTTATCCTTCTCTTTACAGGAAATAGAATAGCAACAGATTTCTCTGTCTTGAATAGCTGAAAGATTTCTACAAAAAAGAAAATTACATTAGGCAGTGTCCGAGCTTTACAAAAGATGATCACAGAAATTTCTGTTAAATTACATCTTCTCTAATTTTTATTCAGTGAGTTCAATTCTATTCTCTGATACTCAGTTTAAAAAGAATACACTATTACATATAACAAAAACATTTTTTGAATTAAAAAGATGTAAAGGCTATAGAGTGATTTCAAAAAATATCAAATTTCTATATTACAGTGTCACTAAGTAAGAAAGAAAAAAAGCAAGAATCCATGAGCTGAATGTTACCACCGTAACATTTTGTGGTGGTAACTCGGTTATGCGATTGACTTAGCATCCATCTTTTATCCTTTTGTATTAGTATTCAAAATTTTAGGTGTGCTAACTAACTGACTAAAAAGCAACAATATTCAGATGAGTACAGCATTAATCTTTCAGGAAGTTCATTATACCATATTATACCATGTACATAGCTTAAAGGTATCAGATCAGATTCCTACTGAAAGGGCACTTCTACCTACAGGAAGAAACCACATCTTAATTAACTTTTGTTTCTTTCTGTGAATTCATCTGTCGCCTCTAAGTTTCTGAATATTGAACTGTGTTTTTCATTTATCTTCCTACAAGTCATCTCAATGTGCAGAAAGCAGATTTCATTCCTGGTGAAGATGGAGAATAGATGTACTGAAAAGGGAAGTGTCTGAAGATCACACAGAAGATACTTAAATAAAAAACGGAACAAAACGGCCCCTCAAGTACCAGTTTAGCTACTTAGCCACAGAACTGTCTTTTACTATCAGAACTTTTTCACTTCATTCCTTACTGATTAAAATTATGCCATTTGGGGCACATAAATGTATTCTCCAAAAGTACTACTACAGTAGCCATTTTTGCATAAATGCATATTTCCCTTACTAAAAGTCCTCAGGTTAGTTTCAGTAATCTCTAAGAATTTTCTTCGGATACATGCCAAAAATACTTGCATTGCTTAAATTCACAGACAGTAGTTCCAAATGCTTCTGTTCTAATGCCATTTGAGCATTAAACTGCCACTACAGTGTACTCTGAGAAGTGTAAGTGAAGCTATTACTCTCAATACCAGTTGCATCTTCAGTGATGGGAAAACAGGATATCTGAAACAACCTTATACAGCTGAAACAATAATCAAGAGCAGTTCATTTTATTGCAGTCAGTTTTCAGCCTAGGGTGCTATTTCAACTGCCAGCGGAGCTCAGAGCATAATATCTGAGAATGTAAAATGGAATCTGTTATTGCTGGCTATTGACACAGACTACCGATGACTTTCTCTTATTCATTGAATTTCGGAGTGCCTCAGCTTTTTCCCCAAGTTAGCTACTTACAATTTCTCAATTAGTTGTTTTTCATCCAGCGCACCTGGTAGGTCTCTTTTATTTCCAAGGACTAACACCTAAAAGAAAGAATCCTATTCATCAAAAATCCAGGAGTGATAAAAATTAATTTTTGTCTTTAGCCATTTGCTGACTTTCTTTTGGATTGTAAAGCCAAATAATTAAAATACAGTAGTTGACACTTTCAAAAAAAAGCAGTGACTGTGTGAACAGACTACAAATCTTCCCACCCAGTCTATATCAGATGCTGGGTATCCACACTCTGAAAACTGGATCCATCCAGTTACCCGACATGCATTAGTATTTTAGCTTGGATGGCAAGTGCACTTTGGAAATCAATCTCACAGCTATCCTCACTTACTCTGTTTTGGACCACATTATGGAATGGAGTTGATTGATAAAGCGGATTACTTTTGTATGAAAATAAACCTGAAGGGGAACACGCACCAGAGCACTCAGATCACCACTGAACACTCAGTCTGAACAACCAAGTTAAAGCTCATCCAAAACAGGCCCTCCAGAGTATGGAAGTGCTTCATTTTACACCTGCTTCTCTTTGAAGTCCCCCTCTTATCTTGCCCACCCACTTCTCCATGCAGACACAGCTCACTGGAAGGTGCCCAAACCATAAACCACCAGCACCAGCCACAGACTGATTCCGCTGCTCCCCCTTACTGCACCCAGAGAAGAAAGGCTCCCATTACATACCAAGTCTGAGAAATAAGAAAAGTCTGTTGAACAAAGGCTGGGACTAAAACTTCTTAAATGTACTCAAAGCCTCAAGTGTTAATAAAGGTGAGATGAATGAGTCGGATATAATCTAAGTACAACCTACGGAAGGTTTTTCTAATTACCACTGCATTATTGTTTTCCATATGGGTCAAAGTCAAGACTATTTCATATTTCCCATAGATCTGGCACACATTAAAACTCATTGCTTTTCCTCTCAGCTTAATAACAGTACCTTAAAATCCTTAATGACGAAGTCTAAGTACAATAAATTAAAGGAAGTTCAATATCGGCTACTACCAATGAAATAACAATAAATAAAAAAATACATTACTGAGCCCTGGAAATAACCATACTTGTCAAGCCGGGCAATTGGGAAGTCATATTATAAAGTATAAAGGGAAAGGAGCTTAGTTAGGTACTTCTGAAGATATTAGAGACTCATATTCCACAAAGAGACAGAAAGAATTAAAACAGGATGTGAGAGTAAAAATATAGGGGACAGAAAGAAGTAAAACAGGATGTGAGAGTAGAAGCATACAGAACAGAAAGACAGTGTCATCCTCCAGCCACGGCCTGAATGTTGGCTTCTGCAGGATTTGTTCAATAACATACACTTACTATATGAAACTACAATAACAGAAAACCTTACCAAAAAAAAAAAAAAGGGGGAACCCCTGGAAAAAAATCCTCTTCAAGAAAGGATATATTTTTTTAACTTTATTCTCATTTTGACTTGATATTAGCTATCCGTCTGCTCTTCTTTAGTTGACTTCAAGCATTCTGATTGGCCAAAGTTCCAAATATTTGCTTACAAAAATCAGGGTCAAGCAAGAACTATAAATTTTTGAGTATCTTTCCTGACTGCACATGTACCATTTCAGCCCTTCTTTTATCAAACATGTGAACCCTTGTTTGCTGATATCAGCATCAAAGACCAATGATGCTAACCAGACTGATTCATACTAGGTCTAAGCCAGCAGATTATAACTAATCAAACAATATTTGATTAATTTTGAAAACAAGAAATTTTGAAAATGAGATTTCCATGTCCCTAGTTCCTCAACAGAATTTTAGAAAGGACACTGTTCTTTGACAAAATGAAGATCCTACCTTAAAATAGATTTTTCCCCCACATAATTTTAGCCTGAAAAATTAAAAAGTGAAGAAAAAGTTGTGAGACAGAAGATTTGAAGTTCCTTCATGTCCTCTGGAAGTAGAGGAGACTGCTTGATGTGAGTGACTGCCAACCTACAGAATGCAAACCCCACATGCCTTAAGACACTGCTGCAAATGTATCTGGGTTACTGGTTCAAGCTCAGATGACAAGAGGACTGACTGGAAGTAATAACTATCCTATAATGTTACATGTGAAAATGAATTTGTTCCAAATATTCTAACCCTTAAACTGGAAAATGTACAAACACACTGCAACACTGATAAGATGCTGAGTGTTGTAAAAAAAATCACAACCATTTTTGTAAAAAGAGAGTTCAATATTTCAAGGTTTAAGCTAGGATTTTTAGAAGAGGCCTGGAGAAGCAATTCATCAGGATTTAAGGTTCAGAATTTATATTCCTGTATTTACAATTAAAAAAAAAATCAAAATACTTACTGGAATTCCATGCAATTGTGGCTTGTCTATCAAATTGTGTAGCTCATTCTTTGAAGCTTCTACTTTTTCTATGTCTGCTGCATCTACCATGTAACTACAATGAGAAAATAGTTATTATGGTTTTGTCCATTACTTATAGAAAGCTGCATTAAAATATCTGAGATGTGACAAACGTGTTCTCATTTGCAACAGCAGCACTGAAATACCTAAGAATGAAAAATCAAGTATGGGTGGTGGAAAAAGATTTCTTGGCGCATGCAGCTGCTTGCAACAGGTATAAACCTGGGTTTGATGGATGTGTAAGAGGTTCTGTTTATACCACGTTGAGACTTTCTAATGAGTGGTTAATTCTTTGCCAGATCATAGAATCATAGAATCATAGAATCACAGAATGCCGAAGGTTGGAAGGGACCTCATAGGTCATCGAGTCCAACCCCCCTGCTCACGCAGGGTCACCTAGAGCACGTGGCACAGGGCTGCATCCAAGCGGGTTTTAAAGATCTCCAAAGAAGGAGACTCCACAACCTCTTTGGGCAGCCTGTTCCAGTGCTTTGTCACCCTCACAGTGAAGAAATGCTTCCTTAAGTTCCTGTGGAACTTCCGATGCTTCAGTTTGAAGCCATTTCCTCTAGTCCAATCCCTGCCCACCACTGAAAAGAGGCCGCCCCCCTCCTCCTCACTGCCTCCCTTGAGGTATTTATACACGCTGATCAGGTCCCCCCTCAGCCTCCTCTTCTCCAGGCTGAACAGGCCCAGCTCTCTCAGCCTTTGTTCATATGGTAGATGTTCCAGGCCCCTGATCATCCTGGTAGCCCTGCGCTGGACTCTCTCCAGCAGCTCCACATCACTCTTGTACTGGGGAGCCCAGATCTAAGCATACTATTAAAACTTTTCCTAGGAACAATCTTGCCTATTGAAAATTGATATTTTCATTACTACAATGTAACAGTATTAAGGTTAACAGCAAATGGAAGGAAGCCTGGATGCTACTAAACACACCTGTATCTGGTGATGTGAATGAACAAGTTATTTCAAGTGTAGGAAATTATTTTCTGCCAACTCGATAATGTAACAGGTCTCCTTTAGTCTTCATCCAAACTCCAATAAAGTCAAAATAAGTCATTCTAAGAGGTCAATCTCACATCAATAAAGCGTGCAAAAACCTTCTCCTCACTTACTATGCCTACTGATAAGTGTCTTTATGATTGAATAACTAGCTGGTTAAGTCACTGATTATCCCGCTGCTACCATTTATGTATTTTTTTTCTTGAATTCAGTCTTTTGCTTCTACAGACTCCTCAGTTTCTGGAAAGAATGCTGCCACGTTGTATGTCTCCTCTTTTTTTCCTTTTGTTATCGTCAAGTTAAGCTAAACAACTCACCATAAGAGAAAAGGTGCATGACTAAGAAAAGGACAAATGATGAAGGTGGACAGGGATAAACATACATCAATATTAATAATATATATTTTAAAATTCATTTTGCATGTAGATACACAGGAGAACTTACACAACTGCGTTGACTCCTCTGCAATAACGCTCCCACATGCTGCGAAACCTTGGCTGCCCTCCAATGTCCCAAACCTGCAAGAGGTAAAAACAAAAACAATTGTCATTCCTGACACATTTTAAGTTACTTTGAACTATGTAGTATTGACAGAGACACCTACATTACAACAGAAGTCTTATATATAACATGTCAGGTTTATTTACCCTATCTAAATTTAGGCATTTTATAAAGTGACACGTTTTATAAAGTCTTTGAAGACTACTCTCCTCAGCTCCTCCCAGTCAATGGAACGAGAGCCTCATTCACCAGCCATGTCAGCCCTGTGACTTTAACAGCTCCACGTGTCCATTAAGAGAGGTCTAACTTTTTGTACTGACTGCAAAGAAATGACTAGGGAGACCAGACTAACCTAGACACCAAAGTAAAGTCTACGAATATTCAATCTGATAGCCACCAACAGCATCACTGAATGAAAATAGTTATTAAGATGCTTTTTAATGAACCTAGGCGAAGTTGAGATACGAATGTACCAGGCCTTCAGTGGGATAAAAAAAAAAAAAAAACTAAGTAAAAGTCAGAAGTTGTTTAAAGAACAGAATCCAATGAAAGGATGATATCGTCTAGTGGCTCCAACACCTTAACACCTGCTCTCCCATTTGTTCATCAAATATGCTTATGGATTAGTTGATCATAACCAGAGAGGAAACAGTAGTGCAGGGCAGGCCTGAAGTGATTAATCTGTGAATCTTATGGGAAGGGAACTCAAATTCTGCTTGTAATTTTATAAAGCTCCAATCCATGAAAATCCTTATGCATGCTCTTAGTGTTTGGCAATCCCACTGAAGCCTTTTAACAGGGGTGCTGAATACACTGAATCACTGAAGTGCTAATACATTATTTTTCGCTCTGCAGAGGTTACTTATTCTCCCTTTGCCCTCAAAAATTCAATATTCTGCATAAATGTCAATCAACATTACAGTTTGTGAAGCCAGTGTGAACCAAAGCTGTCTCCAACACTGAAATACCAAATAAGGATATAAGCCCTGCAAACAAGGGTAGAGCTCTTGAAGGTATTTCCAAACAGCAATTAAGTTACCAGTTACATACCTATTAAAATAGTGATGAATACCCAAAACAAAAGAAACATATTTGTTATCATGTCAAGGACAAGGAATAATAATTATTTCTTGTTCCAAGCAGATTCTGCTATCAAATATGCTTTATATATCAAAATTAGAATGCAGAATTAATAAATGCACACATTATAATTTGTGCATTATAGCACAAACTGGAATTGGAAGTAACATACAGACGAGCAAAAGTTTATGTCTTCCAAATTCCCTTAAAAGTTGTTTTCATATTTATACTTTCTAAAGTCCAATGCATTAATGCTGCTGTGGCAATGAAGACTTGTACAATAAAGACAGACATAACAGATTCTTTGGATTAAGTCTTTTTCAGCTAATGTGGACTATTTTTTTTTATTCCACATTCAATATATCATATTTATATATCAATTTCTCTATCATTTTCAGCATCTTCGGTTCATAATTTAGAATGAAATATTTCCCAATTTACCATTAAGATTATTCACTGATTGATATCTTACTGTTCCTTCTGACATAAAATTAATACACCACATAAATGCAAACTGCATTTGATCCTCTTTATATTATTAAGAGTTATGCACATTGAAGTTAGGTTAGAGTTATTCAGAGTGAACTTCGGAACACAAACTGGATATCAATTATTATTATTATTTGACATTGGAGGGACTGTTTCAAGCCTTAATAAAATAAACCATTTATTTTTAAAGCTCGAAAGAGATGAGTACACAGTACGATACTATAGCTAGATGACAAACCTCACACCAAGGCTAATTATTCCAGTAACTCAGTAACTCATCAGGACCTTGATATTATCACTAACCATCTGCTGCACATCTGTGCCTAGGCAAAAGGGAACCAACTTATTTTCTTGGGAGATGAGAATAAAAATAAAGAAGGGGAAAGAGGGCAGGGATAACTAGTATTAAGATTAGAATTCTGGAGAACTGTTATTCCTGGTAGACAGAAATATCCACAAGATTTGGCTTGGACTAACCACTCAATAAATGTGATAGAGAAATATTGGTTTTGTGCTTTTTTGATGATATACTGTATCTAAACTATATTAGAGCGCATTGCACAGAATACGTATTATTCTCATTATTCTCAAGAGTCACCTTGAAACAACAGAAAGATAAGTCATTTCCAGTCAGTTTCCCTCATAATGCTCACAGCTATTCTGTAAAGGATGGCATGGAAGACACAAAATAGACCAAGTGTTCTTAATAGCACTTGGAACCCAGTTAACCCAGCATGTTCAGTTTTAGTTATCTGGCATGGGGATCATGACATAAAAGACCTTTCCTCCCTTCCTTATCAAACTGATTATAGAACTAACATTTCTAGTTCTTTTTATCATATTGAATAGATTTGGGAGTAATATTTTCACAATACTCTATAGGTAATATTACCCCAAGCTGACCAGCCAATCTAAAGAACCAGAAAATGCCCACAGAGTGACCACATCATATAGAGAAGAAAGCTCTAGTTTCTTTACTGTCCCCGAGGAGACTAAAGTCTCAAAGAGATTTTTTTAGGCTAAATCTCAAAGGCATCATCTTATTCATATTGCATTCAAATGCTTATTTCTGCTTAGGAAAATCCCTACCATGCATAACCATGCATGAGGTCTACATTGTCATACAGTAATTCAATCTTTTAATTTATAAACTAGATTAATTGCTACAGTTTGGAATAACCGTTTAGCACAGCACTATCTGTTCAATCAAACTCTTCTAAGACAGGAAACTCTGAATACGCCTCCTTTCAGTTCCCATTCGTCATGTGGCTCCAAGGTTCCATCCTAAGACTGCAGCTATCAGCTATTTTTAAGAAGCAAATCTTTTTCTTTTGTACAAAGACATGTATCATGACAGCTTATCAAAATTGCAATTGAGGGAATATGTTCCAAAGTTTTTGCAAGTCTTCAGTTACAAGAGGGCTTATTAATACCCAAAGCTGTAATTCCTTTAGTCAGCATATATTGTGTGAGGGCTTGACACTTCATGAGCAAGGTGTAGAAGGGAAAAGTAGCATTTTCTAGATGTCAGTTTTGAATGTCTTTTTTTCAAACATTATGGGTAAGATTTATCTTGGTGATTGAGAGGCATTTGTATCTAGATGTCAGTGCGTGGGTCCAAGTATCTAAGATCCCAGTATAGTCAGTGAAGTCTGGACAGCCATTCAATTCAGTTGACTAGATGGAGATGTCTTCTTTAGGATGACAGAATTATGCCCAAGGCTCTGTTGACAGTACTGACTAGATCCCCATTGTTAAGGGAGCTTAAACTTCATGCCAACATAGAGCTATTTATACCCTGGCATCTTAATCTGTGAGCTGAATCTGACATTGCACATATTGAACTCAGAAATGTATCTTTCTGATTGGAAGTATAAAATAAAATATCAGTCATAAAACCTTAAATCCTGAACAAGCAAGTAAAGAAACCCTAAACATAGGAAAATATTCTGTCAAAACAGTAATTGTTTTAACAATCTAAAGGTAGCACCAGAAACACCTGACATCACTTTGAACTAAGACAACACATGTTCTGAAAAACAACTAAAGAGCCAGTGCACAGACAGTAAACATGCTCATAGTATTCAAAGCCAACTCAAATGGATGAAGTCAGGCAGTGACTTTAAAGTATGAGATTCATCTCTCACAATAGGTATCTAATCTAAGTAACCAAGGTCTCTCTATGGTCACTGAAGAGCTCTGTGGCCACCTCCAGCAAGGAATGATTAAATTCACCTTGCACAGCAGGTGAATCATCCTTGCAAAGCACCCACTCGGCTTCAAAGAGTGTAATTTAGACAATCAGCTCAGGTTAGATTCCTCTTTTCTACCTTAGGTAGGAGAGACAAGCCTTGAACAGTCATTTATTACAGAGTGGAATCTTCTCTGAGTAATGGTCCTTCCTTGTCTAGTAAATGAGAAACTTGAAAAGTCTCTCCAAATATGAAAAATGTTCGGTCCCTTCAGAATCTTTGTGGCCCTTTGCCAGATTTGCTTCAGTAAGTCCCCATCTTTCTTTAATTGGGGAGCCCAGCAACAGGGACAGTATTCCAGAAATAGTCCGGAGAGGTGATTGTTACCCTCAAATTGCTGGTGATGCTCTTCTAATGAAGCCCAGGACACCCCTGACCTCCTTTAGCTAAGGATCATACTGGTTGTCCATGATCACCTTTACAACCACCGTGTCCTTGTGTCCTTTTCAGCAAAGCTTCTTTCCAGCCAGTCAGCCCCCAGTCTGTACTCATGAAACGAGCAGTTCCACCCCAGCGCCAGGACTTTGCATTTCCATTTCTCCATGAGGTTCCTGTTGGCTCATTTCTCCAGAATGTCCGTGTCATTCGGAATAGCTGCACAACCATGCTCCTATCAACTCCTTCAGCTCACTCATGTGCTCAGCACAGCCTGGCCTAACAGGGCCAGTGGTTATAGCTCCAGGCCTCCAGTGGTTACAGCTGCATCCACAGCTCAAACTCTACAGTTTAAGCCCCCAACAACACTGCTCCCTCCAGGCTGCAGTATCTGAGGGGAGAGTGAAACTGCCTACAAGTGTCAGAGCATAACCGAAAAACAGAGCAAGGTAAAGGAAGCTGATCCATCACCTGTATGCACTCCTCTCTTGTCTTGGTCTATTTCTTTTTTACATTTGAAACTATTCCAGGGCTATCATTCCAAGAATCAAGGACTGACTCACTGGAGCTTCACAATCTTTTAAAATAAGTTATCTATATTTGTCTTCTGAGGCTCTAGAAAATGCTTAAAAATGTGTTAAAAAACTTTTCAGGTATAATTTAGCAGTAATTAAAACTAGGGAACCTCACAGAAGCAAAACTGTAATTAGCATAGAGCTAATCCAAAAATAGAGCAACTAAATCAAAATGAAATCACCATGCAAAAACAAAATGTACAGGAATTAAAACTTCAAAATAATTCCATCATAGAATAAAACAGTAATTTGTGAAGAAAAAAAAAAGTGTTAGCCATCAGTTTGGTTATGAATTCCATCAAAGCAGCTCCAATAGTTCCATAGATCCAAAAGAGATCCATAAATTGGAATATATTAAACATTTTGATGCTGGAAATCATCTTATTACTTAATATCTCAGCCACAGCCTCAAAATCTATAAAGGTTTCTGCTTAGATTTCAAATGATGTATGTCTTCTTTGCTTCCTTTTTCTTTGGAAATATTAGGTGTGGGGATTTATAAAATACGTTGACAAGGCAAAATCTGACAATTCATTGCTAAAGCTGACAGGTTTACTTTTCTGATCATGCTCAACTTTGAATAATGATAATATGAAACAGGCATTTTACTACAAGTCACACAGGCCAGCTTAGATCAGTGTTTATCTCTCAATTTAATTCACAAAAATCCTCTCATACACAGGCATGCCAGTGCCTAGACTATTATACTATAGTATTAGAGGCTAAGTATGACAAGAATGTGCTAGCAAAACGCAAAGCTTGGAGGAAAGATTATGAGTTCCTTAGTTTTTGCATTCTTCTGCATCCGAAGATTCCATTAAAACTGAGGTCATTAAACCAGATGGTGGATGATGCACTAGTCTGATACTTTTTCTTAGTGGCCTTTTCTCTTTTTCTTCCCTCATGGCAAAAGAGATAAAATATTAACGTCACCTATTTGTTGGTGTTGTGACTTTGTCTCCCTAAGGTGATCAGTCTTGGTCTTCAGGAATGTCACGTTTTCCCTTGGTGGCTTTTTGACCCAGCTGGTATCTCAGCCTTGCTCTTACAGCAAGCTTAATTCCTTCTGTTTGGCAGTGTCCTCTGAGACTTCTCAAAAAGGTCAGATGTAAGACATATCTGCTCATCAAATCATTCATGACATATCTGAAGGACTTCATAGGTTTAGTAAAACAGTGTTTTAGCCAGGAATTTTAATAATAGTTGATATTTGGATATCATAAGACTTGCATGTTTGAGAAAGGTAACCTGCTTTGTTGGAATTAAAGTACTACAGAAAATTTCACTCTGAATCCTAGCTCTTTGAAAACTTCCAGCAAGAGGAAACTCCCTGAGCATTCTCCAGTCTTCAACTTATCAACAAATAATGACATCCTTCTTACGGTGAAATAATTTAGAAATCTTTACTTAACTGTTATCTATAAAATTTTAACAGCTGACCTAGATACAGTTACAGTGACTTACCAGGGTTTCATCTTGACAGGAATTTAAGCATGCATTTACATACACAAGAACTGTATTGTCCTAAACTTACCAAAACTGCATACTGTTCTAGCAAATAACTGGTTGGGATAAATTATTTCCTTGGGCAGTTTAGTCTTCAATTATCAATCCAATTAGCTCTTAGAATCTAGTTAACATATTACTGTATCTTAATATTAGCATCTAATTCCTATCAATTGTATTTTAAAACTTTTCATGCACCCTGACTTTTCAGATAAAAATGTTAAAACACGGCATATACCAGATCAGAATCATACAATATCATACAGCATACAACAGAAACTCACATACTTCCTCCCTTCGGCAAATCCTCTCCTTAAAATATCTAGGTAAAAAACTCCAGTATAAACTTACGAGTCATTTTCCTCAGCTACTTGAACTAATCCCTTTCAAAAATTGCAGCTACTTAAGTCTCTCCAGGTTGTCCTGAAATTAGTAGTTTTATGTGTGCGATACTCTGCTTTCCCCCATGGTGGTGGTGCCATCAGCCATACACCTGTTTGGGAAGCACACTACTTGGGTAATCCAGCCGGGAAGAAGCTTCTTTTCCTTATTTTTTGCTTGTTTGTTTGAACAGAGGCTAATGAGGAATAAAACTAATACATAACATAGACAAGGCACAGCTGTTTGCCATAAGGTATACCTTAGTGCTATATGGCATAAATATTGCCTACTGCAAGCAACAGCAATGTTGCTCTATAAGGAAATTTCATCTTCCCAACCTTACCTTTCACATAGTATATGCACTACCACAAGCAAATCCATCCACAGAGAAAAGAACCAACAGAGATGAGAGAGAGCCAGGATGATGCTCTATGCAGTGTAAAGCCAAGTGACAGAAGGAGCAAGACAGCAACCAGAAGTTAAATTTCATAATTGATGAAACTGTACGTGGGTTTTCACCACTTCTAAAGACGGCATTCACTAGAATCAGGGCGGAAAGCACCATGAAATAACAGCATCTATTTACAATAAAAAGCTGCGTAATTGTTACTCAGCAGAGTGTGCATCTTCTGCAGTATTTCTTCTGTCTTTGTGAAGAGCAGTTCAGTTACCATTTACTCTTCTGATTCTCGAGTCCCCTCCAAAAGCTGAGCAGTAATTTGGTTTACCTTCCATTGGATGACTTTAAGGCTGACATGGTGTACACTTCATGATTTTTCTGATCTTTTCTACTGCCCTAAGAGCAGTGGAAAGTGTGAGAAAGTGGGTTTGTGCTATCCCACAGTATATGGACCTGGCTGCAAGAATTAGTTTTGACAGGTTTTTAATTGCAGTTACCATATATTTTCCCAGATAAAGTGCAACTGATGCAGTTCTGCTTACACTGACACTCAAGTTCCTCAGTGTTTCCAGAGAGCTGCCAATTGCATAAAGTGATGCTAGGCTTAACTAGTTATTCCAGCTAGATATCCTCCAGGTATACTCCAAACTTTAAATGGGTTTCATTACCTTTCATACATGGTGCTATTAGTTCCTAAATATCTGCTTCACACTTAGCAGCAAGACATGACACTCACTGCCAACAGTGAATTCCAGGGGAAAAAAAACAAGTGCTGAAAAAAAATGATCTTTGGGAATAAACTGTACAACAGAGAGCCACAGAGCCACTGCACACTCCCACTTGCAGGTGTTAATGGTTCAAGCAGCTCCTGCTCCATCCCTGAATATACAAATGATTAAAAAAGTGTTTACAGGTGATTTTACCCTGCCATTCCCCATGTTTTAAGATGTTCAATATTTTTTTCTTGGCTTTCTACAATGAAGTTATATTTAATGGGAAATTAAAACCAGACCAAAGCATGAGTAGTGTTAGAGTTTTTATTTCAGTCTAATTTGGTGTGAGGGGGTGGGAAGTTAAGAGGAAGGAGGATTTGGGATAAAGAGAGGAAACAATTAAATAAAATGAGTTTTCATTTGGAGTGATTTAAAAGACTGCCTGTAAAAATTAAGTTGTGTCTTTTCTAAAAAAGTCTTTCAAATGTTATGTTTCAAATCTTATCGATTAAAAATCTTTAAGATGTTATTGACTAGGCCTGCTAATACACAAGTTATTGTAGAGGAAAATAACGATTATTCTATAAACTTACAGCACTGAAATAGGTACAGTTGAAATGACCAGCTGAAGGCCCTATTGCTATGCAAAATTCTGAAATAACAAACCAAGATACTCAACCACAGGAATAATAAAAAGTTATGCAATCACAGTATCTACATGGTCATTTTAAGTTTTGGCTGATTTTAGTTCAGCTTTAACATATGTCAAGCAAGAGAAGCCATTTATTCCTTTTTTCACCTCTCTACATGCCACTGTTAAGAGGGACTGAATAAATAAAAAAGGTTTACATTCATATTAGAGGTTATTCCAAAAAAATCCTTCAGGATCCCACCAGTCCAGAGAGAAAAATAATATTTTGAGAACTGAAAAAGGAAGGAAAGAGAAGGAAAAGAAAGACTCAGGAAAAAAAAAAAAAAAAGTGGTAAAAGTAAAACCTGTATTCACTTAATTTTTGATAAAAATTAGGAATCTGATATAATTTAATTGCCTAGCCTGCCTTCATAATCAAGCAAGAGACAGCAACAGTCCTAAAGAAGCAGTAATGCTTATTTTGAACTCCTATGGCATGAATCACAACCAAACTGTCAACATCTATATTTTCCTATAGGCCTAAGAGATGATGCCCCAACAATTAACTTGAATTACATGTTCTGTTTTGGGAGAGCTAGATTTTATGTGAGCTAAACCTCACCTTCTACTGAGATGCCTGAGTGAAGAGAGAAGTCACTTCATATTTCATTTGCAGTTGTGAGAAAGAGAGTAAAAGAGTGAGGCAACTGAGCTCCACTAATACACCAGAATTTATGACCTCTCTAATTGACTCCAAAGGAGTATAGCAAGGCTGTGTGGCACATTTATCATTAAAACAGACTAATACAAGCCAAAATACAAGCTTTAAAAAGTTACAGTTTTTTTATAGTATGAATTCATGAAGTTTGTTCATCAGTTTCTTTACTTGAAAAACAAACCACGAATTCATCTACATCGCCCTCACCACTGCTTCAGTAAACTGGGGAGGGGTCACTTTTCAGTACAATTTATGCATCTGTGAGCACTCTGTCCTGCATTACGTTATCCTTCACTGTGAAAAAATGTACCCCACCTTTCATACACCAAGAGGATAAAATATAAACTGTTGAATGTACACAAAGTACTGAATGAAAAGATGTACGAGAAAACAAAACATGTACCTACCTAGCGCAGGTACACAAGATACAAGATAAAATGTGGACATTTTTCTTTAATAATGGATAATTATTAGTGTGTTTCAGTTACAGTAAATATGTTTCCTTTTGATTCCTTGATCTGATTGACTAGAATTATTATACAAAATGGATCTCTGAATACAGACTATAAAAATAATATTCCCTGTTAAACTTCACAAATAAAAAAGTAGGAATAATCAGTTATTGAGTGAAACAATCTTGCCAGAACTGAATGAATTCCACATTTTCAGTTAAACTAACTTCACTTTTTATAGTTGCTCACCATGTATTAATTCAAACATGCACACTTACCTTTATGGTAACGTTTCCTTTTGTTATTTTTCTCATATTGAAGCCTACTGTAGGAATCATGTCTTCTGTGAACTGCCCTGACTAGAATACAAAAAAAAAAGTATTATAACTGATAGAGAGCAGATTAGCTTCACATTGGCAATCTATTTTATTTTACAATTGAGGAAAAAAAAAAAAAGCAACAAAACCTTCTACAAGAGCATTATCCAACACTTCAATTCGTGCATTGTCATGCCGAGGAAGGCAATTCATTTTGGTTCATTTAAATAACCTTTTATTCTTCTCAGTGACAAAGATCACCTGAGAAATCACAAGACTTTGGATAATTTTTCATCTGATGCTTGAACTGACCAGAAAGCAGCTTTGTCACAATACAATAAAACTGATAATATTACGACTTTTCCTTATAGTTTCTCAACACTGCTACCAGTGGTTTATCTCCAAATATAAACTAATGGTGAAAGGGCACTCAGTCTCGAAAGTACTAAATGCAGTCCCTTTCCATCTGCACAGATTACAGCAGAAAACTCCCACTGCTAAAACTGAGATTAAGATGGAAAGTGTAGTAAAATAGGAAGTAAGCACTGGATGAAAAATAAGATAGATGGAAAGTATTTTTCCAGTAAGATGGAAGAATATAACCCACCCTAAACTCAAAGGAAGTATAAGAGATGTGTTCTATCACTAAAAGAAATATTTCTATGACAGTAACCTATTATGACAACGAGTACCTTACAAAAAGCTACCTACTACAGAATACAGCTTTTAAGGAGAATGATGAAGCTCGGCACTGAACAGATTACTTGTTACTACCTCTTCCTTTTCAAAATGTGTCATTAATAAGTTATTGTATCTCACTAGGAGCAGCACATCAAGATATGTAGGTCACGTTAACGTCTACACTGGGGACGAGGAACTCTCTGTAAGATACACAGTAGACCTGGTTTTCCAGTTATCTTGGAAGGAGGAAAGTGGGATATACCATCCCGCCATCAGGACCTTTCTGCCCATATTCTCATCATTCACCTTTATCATCCCCGCTCTGTGTCCTGGAATGTGGTGAGGGGGTTTTGATGTTTGGTTTCTCAGGGTGTTTTTTCATTCATAAGAAAACCTGGATATACAAACAAGCAAGGAACGCAGACACCCTCCAAAAGGAACCTCCCACCTGACAAGTGGGACCTTTAGGGCCCACCACAGGGGCTGTGTTCTGCACACCGCAGGACCAACCATCAGCTATGCCTGGTGTGCTGTGACTCTTGCAGGTCACAGCACGCTTGCCATAAGCTCCTCCTTCACTGTTTGCGGCAGAATGAGAACACTTTACATTTCTAAGATTGTCAACTAGTCAACTAAGATGGACTAGTTTTAATACAGGACTTCAAAAACTAACTTTTGATGGTTATTCACTCCTCTCTCAAGATTTAGGGTTCGGGAATTAGATCCTTCAGGCAAGAAACAACTTCCATCCATTACTTATTCGATCTTACCTATGGGAATAAATTCTGTACTATCTATCTTCCCCATCTTTTGTTTCTGAAAGTCTCTCTTTTCTCTTTCCTTGCTTCAGTGACTTGTCAACAGCAGCAGGGAAAAACAGTGAAGACAAATGTACCTGTAGTCTCATAGAGATACATGGGCCCAGCAAAGACAGAGAATTTTTAATGGGATAGAGTAAGACAAAGTCAATCAGTAACAATCTGCTGTAGCAAAAACTTTCCTAATCTTCTAAAATACCTGGTGCATATATTTGCAAAGGATAGACACTCACACAGAGAAACCCTGAGGGGGTACTATAATTATTCAAGACTAGGAATGCCTGGAAAACCAGAGAGCTAACCCAGAAAGGCACTATTTAAACAAACTCCCTGAAATTCAGGCGTCAGTTTTTGTTAGCAAGTTTTGCACCACATGCAATATGTCCAATTGGAAGACATACAAAAAAAAAAAAAAAAAAAAAAAAAAAAAAGACCATAACTGCTCTGGTATTGTGGTATTGGAGATAGAATGCAAAGAATTAACATCTCCTTTATTGATCTTTTCTTCAAGAAAAAATATGGTTGAACAGAGCCAGTTACAAACTAGTTTGTTTATAGTTGTTTTATCTTCTTACACAATGAAGAAAAGAGGGTGATGTGTGGCTTCTTTTGACCATATTTCTCCAAAAACTCTCATTACTGTATTTTGTCTCAAGTGTTCTAAGTTCAATAAAGTAAAAGGAAAAAAAATGATTGCTTGCTAAGGAAATTTTACTTGACAGATTTTTGACAGTACTTGTGAATATTCAAGGTGCTGTCAAACAATTTTATTGTTATACATCAATAAAAAAAAAGAAGATGGATTATACATCCTGTAAGAGATAAAAATAACTTATGCTAAGTTTATAACATCATTCTTCAATGCTGGTGAATGCTGCACTGGCAATGAATACTGTTATCACCCATTACTATACCAAAAACAAAGGGGCAGATTCATATATCACTGCACATCCAAAGTAGAAAGCAGTGAAATTACCAGTACTAGTGGGAACCTTGGATAACAGTTTCTTCTGCACTGGTAAGAGAGGACCAAATATGTCTCTGATTTTTCTGAGAAGAGACTGTTCAAAGTATGTTTATGCAGTGTTAGCATATTAGGACCTCTGGATGCTAATGCCATCTGAACTTCTTATCAATTGTTTTTATGACTCGTTGTATGCCTCACCATTTTGTGATGGTTACTTCCATCATTTCCTAGAGATCATCATCCCCAGCCATATATTCAAAACACACAGAGTCCCCAATCTTATTTGCTCTCCCCCTATCAACTGCAAATAAGCTATTATTTACTGCCTTATCCTAAGCCACTTTGTCCCAAATTCCTAGCACTTTTGGAGATTATGACAGCAAGTCATCTGCAGACTCAGAGACAAAAGTTATCGTAGCTACTAAATTACTTTTTGTGACACTCCTCAAGCCCGAGAAAAATGGATGTCTTTCAGAATATTTTTAAGCTATATATCTGTTGACAAGAATCAACTCTGCACTAACAACAGTGTCGTTTCATCCGTGGTGATCTTAGCATGAAAGAGATAGAAACACAAGATGTCATCCCACAGGTTGTGGTAAGTTAGAGGACAAATACTGCCCTGTGTGTAGTCTAGTATCACATACTACTAAGAGAGCACTAAAGTCTCTGAACTGCTGCATCCTTATTTGTTCCCCTTTGCGAGATCAATATAAGATGGAAACTAAATCTATTAGGCTTTTGTTTCTCCTTCCTCAGCAGAGCATGGGCTTGGGAGATGAACGCTTCCACATGATGAGTGCTGAGGCCTTTGTTACCAAGATCACTTGAGGGCCTAACAAACTAAAGTCTGAGTTACCATTATTGTCTCAATTGCTATCATCTCCCAAAATATAGTTATATTGCTGGACATGCACTGTCCCTTCCCCATCCTTTTTCTCCTTTTCTCTATCGCTGCTTCCTCACTCACACTAATTCATATTCCTGTTTTCTCCTTTAATCCATAACTGTGTATGACACATGCAAGCACACAACGAACGCCCTGAACGCGCCCATCGCTGGCTTAGTCGCTTTGATCAGAGGCTTCACCCCACCCAATTTGTGTTCAATTTCTTCATCTGGCAGCTCTTCACGGTCAGGAGTGAACCTTCAGGAACATCTGGAAGCTCCAATCTCATGGTAGGCCAAGCTGCCCTAAAGCTAACGGCAGTAACCACCCCGGGACCGCGCTGAGAAGCTCCATGGTGAATTGCTTGCATCTCGATTGCATCTTCTCAGCAATCCCTGGGAAGCAAACCCTCAGGCCGGATCTACGCATGGAGAATACCACGGACATTGTCAACGTCGGGGATGAAAGAGGCCACGAGGCTGCCATCACAGCAGGAAGGATGAACATCAAGGAATTGGGGCAGACATTAGTATCAACGCCACTCGTGGAGGAAAGCAGCGACAGGGAAGCCATGGCATCGGGGGGATCTGCCATGGCTGTCTGGGGATGCGCGGGGCACGGTGGGGTACCGCGCGCCGGGGCGCATCCCCGCCTCGACGCGGACCCCGGCAGCAGGAGCCATTTTCTCTCCCGCCCTGAGAGCCCCCAGGCGCCGCGCGGCTCCGCGGCCGCCACCCGCGGGGCGCGCGGCGGCCGCGGGAGCCCTGGCGCCCCCGTCCCCCTCCCGGCGCGCCCGCGCCGCCGCCCGCCGGCGCCGCTGCCCGTACCGCGAGCACGGTGAGCAGCGTGGTCTTGCCCGAGTACTGCAGCCCCACCAGCGTGAGCTCCATCTCCTCCTTCCAGAAGAGCGAGCGCAGCCACTCGAGCAGCCGCGCCACGAGCGCCAGCATGCCGGCCAGCGCGCCCGAGCTGCGGCAGGCGCCCAGCCCCCGCGGCACCGCCTCGCTGCTGGGCATGGAGGAGCCGCGGCCGGGGCTGTGGCTGCGGGCGCGCCGGGAACCGCCACCCGCGGCTGTGCGCGATGGCGCCGCCGCCGCCGCCCTTCTCGCGCCGCCACTTGCTGCAGCCAGGGGAGGGGTCTGGCCGCGCGGCGGCGGCCGAGGCGGCGGCCGCGAGTCACGCGAGGGCGGCGCCGCGGCGAGAGCAGCGGAGCGGAGCGGAGGGAGGCGCCATGGCGGGCGGCGGGGCACCCGGGCCGGGAAGGAGGGTCCCGGCTGGGCAGGGGTGTTGGGCTGGGGATGGGTGCAGCGGAGAAGGAGGGTCCTGCGTGGGAGTGGGCGTTGGGCATGGCCCCATGGGGAGAGGGAGGGTCCTGGCTGGGACACATTGGGATGGCCACAGCCCCAAGGAAGGTGGAGGGTCCTGACTGGGATGGATATTGGGCTGGACATACCCTGAGGAGGGAAGGAGAGTCCTGGGTGGGGTGGACACTAAGCTGGACATGCCCTGAGGAGGGTCCCCACCCATGCCCTTGGGATGGATGTTGGGCATCCCGTGGGGAATGGCCCATGGGAAAGTGGTAAGTCCTGGGTGGGGATGAACATTGAGCTGGGCATGGCCTGGGAAATGGAGGAGGGTCTTGGTTGGGGATGGACTTCGGGCTGGATGTGGCCTAAGAGGGGAAGGAGAGTCATGGGTGGGTATTGGGCATGGCCCTAAGGGGAGAAGGAGGGTCCTGGGTGGGTGGGGATGGACATTGGGATGAACATGGCCACAGTGGGGAAGGAGGGTCCCAAGTAGGGATGGACGCTGGGCATGGCACCAAGGGATGAAAGAGTCCCTGGGTGGGGATGGACACCAGGCTGGACATGGCCTGAGGAGGGAAGGAGAGTCTTGAGATGGATGTCGAACACGGCCTCATGGGGAAATGACAGATCTTCGATTGGGATTCATGTGCAGGGGGAGTCTCCAAGGAAGACGGTGGTGCAGGAGCATGGTCTAGCAGGGGGTAGCCTATGTCCTTGCCAAGGATGCTCCTGGGGAGCCATGTGCAGGTTCTGGGGGGGAGCTACTGTGTGCAGCAAACTCAGAGCTGTTTCTCCGTGTGGGGAGGCAACAGAGGCTGCCCTGGGGACATCATTTGGTTTCAGTTAGAGTAGCTTGAGCGGAATGACAGGCAGTGGTCTGCGCTGGGCCACTATGAACATCTCAGTGGCTGGACATAGGGGCATCCTGTGAGGATGTGCCCTATATCTGTGTCTGCCTCAGGGAGCAGCAGGGTGGCTCTGCATTGAGGCAAATTTTGGCAGATGACACATTGGCCACGTTGAGAATGGTGCAAGGTGAAACAACTGGTCCCATGGAGGAATGTGCCATGATGGGGGCAAACTGGGCCCTCATAGTACTATGTAAGGCCATATACCAGTAACATCCAAGGTGTGGATTTGCAGGGCATGAGAGCTGTGGACCGAGCCTTCTCCTGATATCCATTTTGTAGGTCCTTCACCTCTGGTGATAGCAGTTCATAGAATCATAGAATCATAGAATCATAGAATGCCGAAGGTTGGAAGGGACCTCAGAGGTCATCGAGTCCAACCCCCCTGCTCATGCAGGGTCACGTAGAGCACGTGGCACAGGGCTGCATCCAAGCGGGTTTTAAAGATCTCCAAAGAAGGAGACTCCACAACCTTCCACGTTTCCTATGAAAATCATATTGAATTGCCTCGTCTATACAGACTTTTTTTTTTTTTTTTTTTTTTGAGATTCTCTTTTAGCTTGTCTGGTGTGGTTGGCAGTGAAAGGGTGTGTAGCATCACAAGGAATCTTCTTTTGCCTGTACCAGACAAGTGACATTTAGCGTCCTGTCTTGCCATACAAAATTAAAGAAAGGCTTGTTTTCTCGATAGATACAAAGCAAGCACTTCACCTGGATATATCTGCAAGTCTCTGATCTTGTCATTTAAATTATGCATGATGCTCTATTGTAGTGTGAGTAGTAAGTGTAAGTGGGTCTGTTTCCTTATCCCTTGTTTTCCTTGATGAACTTCCATGTAGATATAAACATTTTTTTTTTTTTAAAAAGATACTTTTTCTATTGAAACATAGCAAATTCCTCAGACCTAAGAAATTTATTTTTCGTGCTTCTTTTAGAGACAGAATTCATCATTTTGCAGGATGCAGTTTGAGACAAACCTCATTGGTTATGTCAGTCACATCACAGAAAATGGAAGCTCTTATGACATTGCTCTCAAGAAAAATTGGTTCTGAGCTAGCTATAAAGGTGAAAAATTTATTCTTTTTCATGACCTAGTGGTAGATACAGTCAGGATGACTCACAAAGCAATTCTCAGTTTTTGTTTGTTTGCTTTTATGCTGATTCAATTATTTGCCCTTGTAAATTTAACTGAACATTTCCAGAAGAAAATTGGACATTGGAACTGGGTCCTGCCACCTGATGTTAATATGAAGGAAATATTTTTCATTCCTTCTCTTAAAATTAAGTCTGGAGGATAACAGATGGAATTATTAAATGGTGAGTCCTAAACAAACAAAGGAGGCCTTTTTTTTTTTTTGCAATAGCATATAGTGAGACTGTGAAAGTCTTTGCCTCTGGATGTTATATATGCAAAAATTTTACATAGGCTCAGGAATAATGTAATAATTAATGGAAGAAAAAATCCATTGACATCTATTAGGCACTAAGCATTGCCTTTGCTACAGATAATTGCTTTTACTGATGCTTTTACTCTTCCCTAAATATTTTTAATTGTCCTTTGCTGGAGGCAAGTTATTGAAGGCTAGATGGAGTGATAGATTACTCTTACATCATTTTTACGTCATTGAGAATTACTGTTTTTAATGGTTACATTATTTCTGTTTTTTACAGCTCTGTAGATTCAGCTTTAAAAACTAGAGGCTCTGTGACTCAGCAGCTCATAAAACTGGTCATACCTAAAACTAGTTTTTGTTAAGATTTGATGTATAATTTAGTATTTCTCTGAACTTCAGGGTTTTTACTGGAGAGATGCTAGTTACCCCGGTTATTTATACTTATTATGACAGTCCACTGGGCTCAATCCTTTGTGCTAGATGGAGATAGAGTAGTAGAGCTTTAGCCTTTATGATTCTCAAATCTAAATGAACAACAGAGATGCCAAGGGGAGTGCTTCCAGAATAAAAGTAAAACTGAATTGTACCAGTCAACAAATACATAACTGTAATGGCTTTTCCTAAATAAACAAAACAAAAAAAAAAATCTGTCCTGAGCAGCAGAAATAATGAACTTAGTTTCTTAAGGAGCTAAGGACTGTAAACCATCTCTCTTCAGTTCTATAATAACCCTTGTTTTCCTTCATGTCTTCTGTGCTGTCCTCACTATCCAGAGCTGTACATATGCCTATGACAAACTACCGTCAGCAAATAGAATATATAATGGACAAGTTCTACTTAGAATCCCCACAGTAGAAAACTAATTTGGTTTTCTCTCCCTTATCAAGTTGTCACCTTTCCTAAAGTGTGTAGAAACTTGATTGATTAAAATTGCTACCCATGTTGATTGAAATTCCCCTCAAGTTTAAAAAATACAGGAAATATCCATGGTCAGATGACTGGTGAAACCAGAGACAAAACTGTTTCAAAAGTCTCTTAAGCAAAGAATTGTCAGAAAGTGTTGAAGCAGTTAATTTAAAAATTTTTAAGATTTTTTTTTTTTTTTTTTTTTTTTTTTTTTTTTTTTGAGAATCATAATTTTGGTCACCATTCTTCAACATGAGGCAGTGGTTGTGTCAGCTTCAGCTGTTTCAATGCATGGCACGGCCCTCAGGTTCCTTGAAGACTGGTGCTGTGGTAAAGGGGTGAACCTGAAACAGCTTCTGCGTTTAGGGAAAGGGAACTAGAAATTGCTTGCTTAGCTTCCCTTGGTAGGAGCCAGGTGGCCTTTCAAAATATACAAACTAGGCTAAGCCTGTTAACTGGCTCACAAATTTACCAACTAATTGCCTTTTACACATAAAAACAGGAACTCTTCCTGTAGAGGTGCCTGGAAAAGGTGGTGTAAGAAATACATGATCCTAGTTGCAGACAGAAAGAGCTTCAGGAAATAATCCATAGGCAAAGCACTTGGGAAAAAAAAAAAAGTCTTTTCATCTTTTCCCTTTGCTGCTATGTATCTTTCTTTTCTTTTTTTTTTTTTTAATTGTCTAAAACAAGTTGTGAGTTTTGATTGAATAGGTGAATTGGGGTGAACTGAATTAAGGCAGTTTCTGGCTGCCCTAAAACTGAAATAAAGTCCCTCTTAACCTCTGCATATCACTCAGGTGGAAGTATGTGTAATGAAAGCAAGTCCATTTGTAAGTGTGGTTTCTGAAAATGAGGAGGTTCTGATTCCTGTGGAAGGGTTCAGGGTGGGAGCAAACTCATAAACCAGAGCAATCTCTGGCTTTGCAAGGACTTTTAGATTTTGCAGTAGAGCTTAAGGCTCACAATGATGGAAGTTTAAAGCACCTTTAATATTTTTAAGACATGGTAACAAATTCTAGAAAATAAATAATTTATTTCATATTCATACAAGACCAGCAGAAGAGAGTCAGGTAAATTTCAAGTCATCAGTTATATACTGACTGAAGTCTGCTAGACTGCCTAGGAGGTCAAAATAAAATATATGAAAATTTTCTGGATGGTTTGTCCCATTTCTAAGATTGATTACATCTTATAAAATCTATTATAAAGTCATAATTTTTGTGACAAAGTTCCTGATAATACAAGACGCACAAACTGATAATAATAGTAACAATAAGCAGCTTGGAGGCCTTTTTTCTTTTGGTTAAAAGCCTCAGCTGGGTCACAGGAAGCCACAAATTAATACCATGTGTGACCATAGGCAGACCAATTAATCTTTCTAGGAAACAGTTAACTGCTGATAAAATGTTTCATTTTTCTGTCTTGTCCATTGAGATTCACACCCTTGGGCCCCAGTTTAGTTGTGCCTGGGGACACGTGGCATGCGGCGCACTGAGTCTTCCAAGGTCTCTGTCTCTGAAGCAGTAAAGCAGCTT